CATTTCATAATAATTACATTGCCACAGTGCTGACGTAAAATATCCTCAGTGGTAGATGGATCATGGGTTAGAGTCTCATTGCCGTTAGGCTAACCGTGGGAGGTTCACGTGATCTTCCTTTCCATGTTACGCAAATGCGGGTTAGCTCCATCAAAAAGTCCTCCGCGAAAGTAAATTTCTCCAATGCTTGATCTCAAGTGTTCCCTTGCCTTCTGGATTGGGTTCAAAATTACAAGGCTGCGGAGTTGAACGATAGTATAGTCGTGAGCCCAAAAAATTGCATCGGCTGTTCAACGATGGTTATAAAATAGAATAAAATCACTCCTTTTTTCTGTTCATTAATTCTTTTCTGTTCATAGAATTGCAAAATATACAGACTCTTATCCTGTTATTATTGATTCTATTGCAACTTTCAGCAACTTTTTGCAAAGTTTCTAGATATATTTTTACGAAAATAATTGTGATTACAATTAAACATCTACTGCGTTTTCTGCATGATCTGAGAAAAATTGCAAGTAAATACAATCGCAAGTACTGAGACGTTTAGGAGTAATAAAATTCTAAAGACTTTTTAAAAGCTCTCTATGTATAGATAAAAAAATATTTTTGTGATATATTTCAATTTTCACAGCTTATTTTAAATAATTTGGAAAATGGAATATCAATATAGAAATAATAAAGTAGCTTTTTGTAACAAAATATTATCATATTTTGTTATGAAAGTTCGCTGAAATCTTTTGCACTTCTTTTCTTTTTATTACTTTCAATCTTTATTTATTGAACTTGTTATTACTTAATATCTTAATACTCATCATTAATTCTAAAATTGTTATTAATACATAAACTCTCTCGACTATAAGAGTTTTAATTGATTGATAAGCTCTCTTACATGCAGTAAATAATGAATGATAATTGAATCTGAGTTCTGAAAAAACTGAAATAAGTAGTTAAGTAATGAAAAAAAATTTTTTTTTTAAATTTAATGAAAATCATTATCTTCCATTATCGCTGTTAAGTGCTTTACCTAATAAATGGCTTAAAAATTCAACACTTTTTAATGAAGTCTTAGCAATACTTTTCCTTAAATTTTAATGAGGGCTAATCTCTTTATACAACTCTGCTAATTTGCAGAGCTTTGCCTTTTTAAAAACTTGGCTTATTCCCGTCAGGAAAACAATTTAATTTGCTCGGCACTATAGATATTCAAGTTAGATTGGAATAAATTTTTGCTACAAATTTCATAAGCTGATATTAAGACATTAAGATGAGTTATAAAAGCAATTTTTAATGTTTCTCAATTAAATTCTCATTTTCTTTTCAAATGAAAGAATTATAGAGATAAGTCATACTTTCTCCTAATCAGCATATTTATATATCGAATTGATCCGTAGTAGCGATTCTAAATAAATACTGTAGAAATTTCTGCAATGTTCCTTCGATAATTGCATAATACAATCAGCTTAAATTATCAGTAATAATCAGTTTAAATGCTTACGTTAAGGTGCCTAAGTTAAAATATTTTTAATCAGAAACCCTCTTAAAAAACGCCCTCCTAATCAATTTGAAAGTGTTTCTTATTTACAAAGTGTTACAATATAATATTTTTCCAAGCCTTTCAAACATGTTGATATTTACTATTTATTTATTTTTGGGGTGGATTTCTTTATGTTTGAATTATTTTACTATTTTCAAAATTTTTGAGAAATAAAGCTTAGATTTTTTTTTGTAAAAAACTATGCTCTACATATATAGTTTAAAAAACTTGCGTTTTACTGAGATTATTTAAATAAATATAATGCAATTACTATTAAAATATTGAGTATAAAAAATTTTATATCGGCGATTTCATGTAAGAAAATTAAATTTCAAATTACGTTTTTGGTATGTTTGAAATAACCAATTTGCAATAAAGAACTATGATATTAAATGGTAATAGACTGTAGAAGAAAGAAATTAAAAATAAAAATGAAATTAAAAATAAAAATGAAATTAATATTTCTGTAGTAAAAGTTCAATTATTCTAGAAAAAAAAATTGATTTTCAACTTTATTGCAAAATTATTCATATCTCAAAAATTTACTTTTTATCCACTGATGCATTTCAAACTATTTTAAAAACAGCAAAGCAGGAGCAGTTCTAATTTGATTACACTAAGAAATATTGTGATATATTATGTATTTGCAAGTAAAATTAATAATTTTGTAAAAATAAAATTAAATTTTAAAAAAATTATGTTTATTTTATGACTTATTTCTTTATCTTTTAACGAAATATACTATTTTTTCTATAAAGAATTTGTTTAATTAGTTTCTAAAAGAATACTAATTATAAGCAAGGATAATAGATACGTAACTGAAATAAACTAGAGAAAGTTAGATTACAATTCCAAAGTACAAAGCTACCGATAATGAGGAACATTTTATTCTGCTATGTTATCGTCACTTTTACTTGTCTCATAATTGCACAGAAATTTTTATTACATAACTCAGTGGTTCTTAACCTTTTTAAGCAGCGACCCAAATTTGAGAAATATGTTCATATCGCTACCCAAAAAAAAGTCAAAATTAGGCTGAGTAAGCCGCAATGACTTCTTCTAGGAGGTGTTGGTATTACTTATTATTTGGTGTATTACTAACTTTTTTGGTTCGACTCAGTGCGACCCAAGAAATATGCTTCGCGACCCAATTTTGGGTCACGACCCATAGGTTAAGAACCGCTGACATAACTCACAAAATGTATCCATATTATTTCTCAAATAGCATTGTTTTGTGCTTCTTGCTTTAAAATTTTTTTTCAAGATAGTGAAATATCAAAAAGAAAACCGATAGTCATTGAAGTCGATACACAGTGAACAGTCCATGATACTCAGATAACAAAATCCCCATAATAGCAATGGCAGAAAACTGAACAAAATAATAAGTGCAGTATTTGAGAAACGTTTTTTCCAACAAATGTGCCTTGATTGATTGCTAAAATACGAAATACAAGTAAATATTAATGGAAACCTACACACAAATGCAAATAAAAGTATTAATACGTAATTATTAACATGGATAATTTACATACAGGCTAAGTCAAAAATTGTTCCTTGAACTTTTTGCAACTACATGCACTCTTAGAGAAAACCATCAACTATAGAACCATTGAACAATGTTTTAATTTAGGTAACGCAGGAGGGGGGGGGGACGCCATAATTATGCTTACGATGCTTCAATTGATATAGTTAGTTCAGATGTTTCGAATGTTTCATGATAATATAGTTAAATTTTTCAACAGATTAAAGTTGCCGCTAGTTAGGGTGATATTGTGATTCAACAAATACAAAAAATTCTAACACTGGGTTGAGTAAAAGGAACTTACTAGTCAGAATTACTTTTACAGATTAACTCTCTTAATATGAAAAAAGGTATATCTTATCTTTATCAAAAAAATATATAAAAATTCAAAATCTAATCAAAAGAAAAATAATAGAGATAAGTATAAGGAACTATAATACAGAAATAATTAAAATCATAAATTAAATAAAATTAAAAAAAAATGTTTTTAAATCTTTTTCTGTATAAAATACAAGTTAAAAAAGTATTTTTTTCAATAAAGGTGATTTTAAATAGTCATTTTTTGTACATTTAAATCATTTGAAAACTATTAGACTTTGATTTAACAAAACTTCATTATAAGAAATTAAAATTGAAACAAGAACATTTCTTTTTCGAAACTTCTAAGCAATAAGTTCGTTATTATTCATTATTTATATATTCTGGTCGTATATAACCTTACTTTTAAAGTGATAAGGATTTCTGACTCAAATTGATCATCTCTTTTAAAAGAAATCGTAATGCTTACTAAAACATTATATCTTTGTTTTTAATTTATGGGACACGTCTACAAATGAATTCAGCTTTATTTTATAATACATAGTTCATACTATGAAAAATATTAAAATCATGTAAAAATTACCAATAACGTACATGCTACGATACATTTTCTGAAACTGTTTGTCAAAATAAATAAGTAAATGCATGAATAAGGAATAAGATAAATGAAATGGAAATTTATGAAATGTGTTTTAAACGTATAATTTTCTAGTCAGTCAAATACTTCCATAAAACAGTCTTTGCTAGACGAAAAAGAGAAAAATATAAAGTGAACTTAAATTGATATTTTTCAGTAAATAATATTCAATTTGTGCCAAATAAAATATTTTATTCTTTCTTTTTAATACATTTCATAATAATTACATTGGTTGAAATGCTTCTTAAATTACTTAATGCATAATGTATAAAATTAATGTTTCTTTTCTTTGAAAAATTTAAATAATTATATGCATTTCTAGATATATTTTATTAAATAATTTAAATTATTTATATTTATATATATATATTTAAAAAGGTAATCAAATCGAAAAAAGGAACTGTTATTAATTTTAAGAAATATAACTAACTAATACTTTTAAATTTGTTTTATAATTTTAAAGGACATAGATAATATCAATACATTTCCAATAATTACCCAGCGAAGCTTTAAGGTTACGTAAAAATTATGAATAAGTAAAGCAATATTACTATAAATTTATCCAAACTGTTTAAAAGAAGAATAAAAAAGTGAAATTTTTAAAAAAATGCTTTCAAATTAATGTATAAAATCAATTTTAAGAAAATTTAAAATTAAAGCAAAATATTTTAATATCTATATAATAAATATTTCAATATTTTACTTTAAACATTTTATACTCAAAGAAAATGTCGTAATTTATGATTGATAAATTTTCCTGAAACAAATATTAAAAGAAAAATGACGAAATGAATACATAAAAAAATTATAAATATATATTTTCAAAAAATAGATGAAAGCAATAAATAAGTAACATAAATAAATAAATAAATAAATACAAAACAATAAATAAAAACAAAGCAATAAATAAAATAAATAAATACAAAACAATAAATAAAGACAAAGCAATAAATAATTTAAATAAATAAAATAAATATTTTAAACTGATAAAAAATGCCTAACTGAACAAATGCATAATAAATAATAGCGTTTTTTTAAATCTTAAACAGTAAAATTATTGTTTGTTGTAGTATATATTATAATTTTATATCATATGTTATTATATATTTTATAGAGAGCTATTATCATTATTATTATTATCTTATTTACAAAACAAATCTTATTGAAAGACTTTTTAATGTTAAAAGAATTTTGCAACTCGGACGCCCGTAAATGATCATATTTTCCCTCGTTTGTTTTGTTAAAGCAATTCGTAATCCAACGATCAAATATTCGATGAACAACTGACGGTTAAATATTCGATGTATCTGTATTCTTCCATAATGAAGGGCATTTATCTCGAAAGAAAGCGAAATGATTAGAAGAACTTGAGCTTGATCTACAACAATCACACCAGTCAGGAAGGGTACACCTAAAATAAATCATTTAAACTGGTTTTTCATTTTGTGTTTAATTTTTAGGGAATTAAGTATATAAAACACTTAGCAAAAATCTAAAGAGTGGTTAAGTATAAACGTGGCAAAAAAAGTATGTAAAAAAGTAAGTTAAAAATTAATTAGTTAAAAAAGTAGCTATATGGGTAATTTTTCAAATGTGCGATTTAAATTTTATTCTATAGTTAGATTTAATTTCGAAAATTTAATCAACTTATTCAAAAAATAAGAATAAAAATATTTAGCAAAAGCTAACATCCATGTTTGCTTATTTATGAAAATAATAATTAAAAAATTCCCAATTTTAAGTTTAAAAATGTTGCATTACCTAAATTAAGTATAATGTCTTTATTTTTCTTGTGTCTGCTTTCTAAAAATAATGTCTTTTAATGTTAAAATCTTTTCAGAATCTTTGTATTTTTATTGCTTATATTTTACTATGTATCCCTATCACTGGCAAGAAAACGAAATTAACCAAAAAAAATAACTTAAAAACGTTTCTGTTTTGATAAACTATTATTTTCAAAGTTAATATTTGAAGAACTATTACTACTTAAGATGTTCCAATGCGATTAAAAATTTTAAATAAATTATTTAGGAATAACAATATGCAAGAGACGATAAACTTGATATAAAACTCGATAAAAATGGAAATAAAAAAATATGTATTTACCTTATAGTTGGAGATTGCTTACATGTAAATAACCAAATAGCTGTAATCATTACGCCAGCCATTTCTCTACAAGAAAAGTTAGTGTATGAAAACCACATTGTAAATATTTCTGTTATATAAATTTGCCTATAGGCAAGTCTACATTTACGTACTATATTTAGAGTAATGTAGCATTTTTGTATTTTCGTGACTGATTAACCTGTGTGGTATTTTTTTTCAGTTTTCAAGTTTTCAAAAATTAGTGAGTCGCATGATTTTTTATTTCAAAAGTTGTAACATTCTACTCGTTTTATAACATAAATATTTTTTATTGAAGTGAGTCACATGAAAGCAGGCAATAGGAATGCTACCTACATTGAATCATGTATCGAATCATATGATCTCTTTAACTTTTTGCTTTCGACTGGTATAATAAGTGGACCAGACTGGTTTCATCATGGTAAGCGCCGTATGCAAAAGGTTAGCAAAACAGCAAATGAAATTTTCTGAAAACCACAAAAGTGGGTAAAAAAAAGTTTACCACGAAGAAACACCTACCACGATACTAAGGAGTTTCCTTGTCTTTTGAGTACATAATCGTTTGAGTACATGATACTCAGGAGTTTCCTTGTCTTTTGAATAGAAAATACAATGTTACCATATTCATTGACTTAAATAAACTATATTTTGAAGGTTATCATTTTAGAGCACTGTCATCATTTAAATGGTTATTATTTTATATGCATATAATTTTAGAAAAATGTTTGAAAAGTTGCACACTTTTCAAAGTTGTGCAAGTTAAAGAGTGTTCCTTATAATTTGAGTAAGTGAAAAGAAATAAATTAAAATTTCAAATTAAGATTTGTGAAATTTACCTCCCTTCTTCATACGTAAGAGGATTGAGAGAGCCATCGGACAAAGGATGTGTTGCAGCTATCACAAGCTGAACTATCGTGTAGAGAAACATTCCGAAACAAAACATAGCATGCATTGAGTAGATCCATATCCACTTTTTATTTCCTCCATTGGAAGGTAAGAAATAAAAATGTTAGAAACATTGAGAGAAAAATTTCAAAATTAGTTACTTCACAACAGTGACAAATAAGTCTTTAATGAAAAAAAACTGTTCTGATGGTATTTAAGTTAAAAAATTTAGTACGATCGTAAACTAAAAAGGTAGCTTATACAATTTTGAAGATAATTGCATAATAAATTATTAATTATTACTGCATAACTTATCATAGTGTTCATTCATAAATTAACTGTTAATTTTGAGAATGTTAAAAAGAAAGCTGCGCTTTCTAAATTTGGAAACGCTTAGGTGTACACATTGAAAAAAATTGCTTCAAGTTTGAACCATAATATCAGTACTCAGATTTAAAATGTATTCAAATTTCTGCATACTCGACAAAATTTGATTGTCTATGTTTACATTCTGATTTTATTCAAATTGAACTATACTGTCGTGTACTATAATATTCTATCAAGTAATCAAGTTTAAAAAGAGTAAATTTTACTTTCCGACTAGTTAGTATCAAATTAGCACTATATTCATGTTGAAACATATTGGAACGATATTATGGTATAACGAGCTCCAAAATTTACACCGCATACTCAAAATTCGCTTTTTTTTCACCCTCGGAGCAGCAATTTATCGACAAATCTCCAAATTAAATAATTGATTAAAACAAAGCAAAAGACAACGAGAATAAGGGACGAATAAAAGTACAGAAATGGACGTACTATAGTTTCGTTACTGTAAACAAGAATCTTCCTCAGTACCGACATTGAGAAAGATTCTTGTATGTCCATTTCTGTACTATTATGTGTGCTTTAGTCTACGCAGAACAAAGCATGCTCAATCCTCACTTTAGAAATAATTTCTTCTTCGTAGCATTTTTACAACTTAAAAAAAATATCTAATGTTTATTTGATTTGAGCAGTTTTCAATTAATTTATCTAATTGTTTTCTTAAACAAATTTTGTTTTAAAGAAATGTAAGAAAAATGCTTGTTTAATGTATAAATAAGACAATGTGGATTTATAAAAAAAATGAAATGAATGAGAGGTGGAAAATTGTAAAATTAAGTAATAATGAGAAAATTACCACTTGAGTTGGGCCAGATGACAACACTAAAAGTAAGAAGAGTTGCTGTTCCGTATAAAGGCTGAAAAATAAAGATACTTTTTACTTTTATTTAATCTCGATTTGTTTCTTCTAACTAAGCATTAACAAGTATATTGAAACGATGATTATTTATATCATAAATTTAATAAACATTTCATATACTTACTACCCACAGATAGGGATCAGGATCATTGAACTGAAAAAAAGCAAATAAGATATTTTTTTTAATAAAATTTTAGAAAATAATTTCAACAATATAATAATAGATGTTAAAGGTGTTAATAAGTACAATAACAAACGATGATTATTAGGGTTGCTTTAAATTTTATACTAACACGTATCATTTGCTGAATTACTAGGATTAGAAAAATAATTTAAAAAATAAATGTCTAAATATACGAATAAAATAATTCAAAAACTTAAAAAATTTCGAAATTTCGTTGTATAGTCATGCTTAATTCTTTTTTATCTATGTATGACTTGGGTACAGTGTGGCTTGTGGATCCTTGATTCCATTACTTTATTAAAAAAGGCCAATAATGTGATGTATATATATACAATATTTTAAAACAAGATACATATTTTTTAAAAATAAAACGAAATTACTTCTTGTAAGAGGAAATAAATATACTAAACAAAAATATTTCCTTTGATATACTTTTAAATTATATTAACTTTGATATACTTTTGAATTTTTGAGAAATGCTTTGGCAAGCATTATTATTATAACTTTTGGAGATGTCCATGTAGAGTTGTAACATTTAGAGAAGTTTATCTTGAAATTTTACTCAAAAAGGAACTTTATTAATGCTATTTTTTAGTATATTATGTTTCAGAAGAAGCAAAAAGGAAAAGAATTTTTTCAATATTAAGTAAAACATTTAACCACTTGGCACGCAAAAATCTGTTTCTGTAGTTATTTTGTAAAGAAGCAATTTCAATACAGGTTTTATGATTTTAAACGTTTATGGACATATTTCAGTTGATATATATTTAAAAGCAAAACTTTTAGTCTAAATTTTGACACGAAAATTGGGGCAAAATGTATTTCAGCTAAAATAATTATGAATGGTGTGATTTATATTACCTGGACACCTGAGGCCATGAGAAAAAATATGGTCATAAAACCATTAGCTATTCTCCAAATTGTTTTTCCATCCTTTTCAGCCGATGTTCTATTTTCTCTTCGATTTGTTTCTTGCAGTTCAATCTCTTCAATATCACTTGGATTTCTAATAATAAAACTTGTATTACTTTTTAGATTTCTCTTAATTTGTTCCAATTTTTGCTGCTTTCACACTAAATTATGGTTATTAATCTGTATATGATTATTAATTTCCGTAATAATATTTATTTGAATACATTATTATTATCTTTTAAAATAAATCTTTAATGAAACTTCGTCAATAAAGCTGAACTTAAAAAAATACATTGATTTGAGAACCGTTATTGAGAGATACATAAAAAAATATCGAATTAATGGCATAAAAATGTACATAAAAAATACCGAATGAAACATAAAATTGTATATCTGAAATAAACGAGTATCTTTTCATTAGTAAGTGTTCTTAAACAGTCTAGTTTTCTTATTTGTTTGTATAGGAAAAAAGTTAATTTTTTTTATTTTACTTTTGGATTGTAAAGAATAGTTAAACTAACCTTAACGCTAAACATTTGTTATATGTATTGTAATCGATAGTAGTAGTATTAGAATAATATTCTTGACATATTTAATTCCTGTACACTTTATTTCTTTTCTTGAAACAATTATGTTTTTAATCTTGTCAATTGTTATGTTCCAAATTTTCCAGTTTTGAATGGTGATCAAAGAAAAAAATATCTCCCTAGTCACTATTATGGGTTACAAAGAATATTTCAAAAAGAATTTCTTTTCGTAAGCAGTTATTAAATGAATTTCGTGAATGCACCGTGAGTGAATATATCGCATTACAAGAATATTTCCGTATATTTCTATTCTTTTCATTGAATTTATTTTTGAACTTCTCAACATTCACTCATCATCTGTTTTATTCAAAAATTTCGATTTGGTTGAACTTGTTTTTCAAACTTAAAATCGCCTATACTCTCATGAGTCACTATTTCCCTCTAATTTTTGTTTTTATTTTATTCGCTTTAAAATTTTTAATGTAAAAAATTCTCTACCAGAAGCCGTTTAAAAAAATGCTTTTCCATTCACAAAAAGAAATAATTTTAAGTCTGAATGAACATTTCCTTAGAATGAACCTTTTCTACCCAACATAAAAAAAAAGTAAAATTAGTAAACATTTTCTATCTAACATAAAAAAGGAAAGGAGAGTGATAATTAAATAAAATTGTCTTTTCATGGGAGTAAATTCTTTCTCATATTTTTCTCTAAAACTTCTTTACAAGAAAAATCAACTGCTATTTTAATTATTCATACCATATGTTGCAACTAGAAATATAAATATGTTCAAATACATACATAAACAATATTTTGAGAAAAAGCCATAGCAGAAAGTGGAAAAACGAATTATACATGAACATTGACTATTATAATTCTATTGTTTCATTCATTAATTATTGTGAAATGAAGGTTTTATATTTTAAATGTCCTGCAAATGAAAGGATCATTTCGATCAAATAAAAGAAAATGAAATTCCAATCTAGTTCATAATTAAATTTTTAAAATTGTAAATAACTAAATAAAAAATTATTCCCAAATTTAATTTTTTTTAAAAATATTATAGCACGTAAAACTTTTAGACTCGGTTGGTTTGACAAAGTTAATCATTCAAAAAAAGTTGCTTTTGAAGCATTTTTCTCTGCTTTATTTTTTGACGCCGCAGTTATCAAAATCATTAATTTATTTAGCATTGTTATATAATGGATTATGTGATTGGATCAATGGATATAAATTATTTTTAATTTATGGAGATATATGATTTTATTTGTTACAGAATTTTAATATAAAATTCAGTTTTGAGTTTTGAATAAATTTCTTTTTATATCAAATCAGTTAAAAACTTTTATTTAATTATTAAATTGAAAATATTTTTTAAGCTAGTTATAATTTAAATAAATAAAATGCATTGCCATCAAAAATATTACTTTTATATAATGAAGAATATTATAATTTGTAATAAATAGTATAATTACAGAATTTTCATAATTAATAGTTGACTATAAAATTTTAATTTTCAATACTGAAACATGGTTGAATATGTAAAAGTAAGAAATATATTTTTGATTAAAGAAACCTATCTAATTCAATCTTTAAGAATTTTAATGCAATTTTATTAAATTTCAGTGAAATTTGAAAATCTGTAAAACACGTGATAAATTATAAATAAGTAAACTAGTTTAATACTTTAATCATTTATATTATTATCTAAATATTTTTTATTATTAAATTTAATTTTTTTATTATTATTTTAAACTGTTAATTTTAATCATTATTTAATATATTTAATTATTATTTAATATTTTATAAATTTTAAATTATTACTTAAAGAGAAAAAATAATGATTGTACCACTGTATTAACAAAAGTTATAATTCTGAGATAATTTTAACACCACATTATGGCAAGTTCAATTTACTAAACCTCTCTTTTGTTACTTTTAATGTTACGTTTATATCAAACTTATTTAATTTTATTCACTTAAATGATTTTTTAAAAATCTTTGAAGTAAAATGTGTTTTATAAAAAAAAATTTCAAAGATATTTATGTAAAATAAATATTTAAGTGACACACTCTTTTGTTATAATAGGAATAAAAACTTACACATTAAAGATTTCTTTCATATCTTGTTTTTGAAGAAAGCAAACTATGAATAAAACAATGAATTTTAAACACATTTGCAACGCTAGGTTTTTAGACTACTTTTAAATATATTCCAAATCTTGTTCTCATAAAACTTCTAAGCATTGGCGACAACAAAATATATCGATTAGCATTTGGCGTAGTTTCTAAAGTTTTGAATTTCAAATAAACAGAAAACTCTTCTATTTCTTGTAATGAATATTTTATTTTTAAATAATATTAACTTTTGATTTAAATAACACATGTAGGTTATTTACTTTTTGCTAAGACATTATTGTTTCTATATTTAACTTCATATTTTTAGAAGAAAAATCATCAAATAAATTAAATCATCATACATANTATATATATTCTGAAATTATATAATAAAAATAGTACTCGTTGATTAATTATATTGTCTATTTCGGGTCCTATTTTAAGTGAATCATAATTATAAGAAAAAATGTCTTTATGGTATTTGCGCCAAAGTGAACTTTCTTTTAATATTATTAGTTATCATTTTACTTGTTTATTAAAAACTGATAAATTATTTAAATAAATGTATAAATTTAACTTACTTTATATTTTCATTTATAGGCACTGCCAGTTTGTAGTTATAGTTGTTTACCATTTCAATGATTAATGCTAGGTAATTAAGTTGTATGTAAAAGTAAGTTTAGTTTCGTTATTTAAAAGTAGTATTTTCTTTTATATTTAATATAAGGATTTGTAATTTCTTTAAATATTTTCAGCTCTCCATCTGTCATTTTGGGAAAACGTGTTAGCAACTATGTATTCTAGATAAGAGAGTGCAAGATTGTATGTTTATTTTGTTTCCTAGACTGAAACAGAAGTTAATCTTATCTCATACAGAGCATATCAGATCATTCATAAATACCTATGTAATAAGGGGTCATATAAAAAATTTTAAAAAATTAATTCATGGGGTTTGTTTATAAATAACACTTATCTTTTTAGATATAACTCATAGATTTTTGCTCGCATATTTAAAATTTTATTATACTTGTATTTTTACTATAGTTTTGCACTTAATTACACTTACATTTATTTCTTAAATACTTCACAACTTTCACATTTTCAATATGGATCTACAATTCCAGAGATAAAAAATTCCATTTTCAAGAATATTCTAACGTGAATGGGAAAAAAAACAGATATGAAATAAAAAAGAAAATATGCTGATAATGAAATAATGAAATAAATAAAATGAAAAACAAAACCAGAATAACCGTTTAAGCCGGCAGTGACATATCAGAACTGATTGCAATTCCTTGCTTTATGGAAAGATGATAAGGAACTTAGAGGTAGTTAAATGTACGATTTGGCCTACTTCAATTGATTCTACTTTGGTTCTAAATGTAAATTTTGTTTCTTAAAAGTACCAGTCCGATATAATTGTCTTTATTGTGAAAAAATAGTTATAATATACGGTGATGCGATGGACATTTAAAAAATAAATTACAAAAATATTTACCTCTTGCTGGAAAATAAAATCAATTTCAAAATAAGTCTTCTGACAAAAGAGCTCGAAAACATTTTGGTATATACCTGAATTAATCTGTTCTTAGAATATGCTTACTCTTAACCATCACTACTCTTAACTCCATACCATCACACCAGCCGCAAATTTTACACCGAACGTTTCAGGCTTCTTTATAAAATGCTTCTTGTTTCATCGTCCAAACTCGAAAGCCCTGATTATCATAGAACTTATTTTCGCCACTAAAAATATTTTTTTCCAATCTTCAAAGCTCCGTAACAATCTTGATTTATATCATTTTATTATTTTAAGCTTATGTTTTACAGTTATAAGTGGTTTTGGAACTTAAATTTCTAAAAATTCCTTAATGTTGTCGATTTAGAAATATTAAATTGTTTTTCCTTTCCATTTCCAATCTGTTATCTCGGGTTGAAGTTATCAGTTTTTGACCACTATTGCTTACAATTCATTCTTTTCATCCTGTTGTAAGATTTTAAGAACGCTTTATTGGAGACAATTTAAATAGTTGTCTGTATATTTTTATTTTGTCCATGTAAGTCATTAACTCACAATTTTCGTTTTTCTGGAATATTGCGTGAAGTTTCTATATTTAAACAAATTGCATAAAACCTTGAAAAAGCACCCTTTTTAAAATAAATATCAGCAATAACTTTAAAATTCTCATAAGCAACGTTAATAATTAAAAACCAATATTATCTAACACATTAAACTAATTTTGTCAAATTTAATTCATTATTCGAATATTTTGAGATTTAACAATATTTTTTTTAAGAAAAATAGATGAGCAAGTTTTAAGCTTGTGTCATAATTTGAGGGAAATTACATTCTTCATAAAAATATCATTTGCATGTAATGCATTTTATAATGCTTAAGAATAAAACGTTTTATTTTCATGGAATGAGAAAAATTGATTGTTCTAATGTTTTGAATCAGAGTCATATAAGGGTCTATTACTGTGAAAGTTATCTATTTTGTGGAGATGCAGTGGACATTTCAAAAATTTCTTAAGAATATTTGAGTCACGGAGCTTTGGAAAGGTGATAAATCATTTTTATTCATATTACACTTTATAACATTACCGTGTCCCCTTTAAAAATACCGTGACTTATGAAATGTAACCTTACACAGTACCTTATGAAATGTAAATTTTTATGAAAATATAAGTGAAATATAAGTGTCACATTCTAAAGATTTGAATCTTGGAGAAAGATCGTTCTAGATCGGGCATCGTATTGGTCAAGATTCATTCACTTTACTGAATTTAGATGAAAGGAGAACAAACCCTAAGTAGCACCTAATAATAGATAACATCAAAAAGTCAGTAAAATCTAACGTTATTTTGCACAACTTCTAATATTAGAAGGATACAAGAGGTCGCTGTTTGCTCTGTATTATATAATATTCGATTCTATGCAAACTAATATTATCTAGCATTCGCTCGCCGCAACATTATTTTGCATTGGTTTTAATGCTATATAATTTTAGATTTTAATGCTATATTTTAATGCTTTTAATGCTATATAAATTATTTGTTATTATCTTGCGCCGTTTCTAATTTTTGGAATTAGCAAGGGGAAGATTTTGATGGTAGTTGAATAATTCGGTAATATAATTTCACTTAATTTTCTGTACTGTTGTGATACAATAAAAGATAGAACAATAGTTTCATAATGTCATTAAATGGATTATTTACTTAGCAATACAGAAATACTAAATAAAATTATATTAGTGAATTCTGCTACCATCTATTTTCATTCCTCTTACTTCAAAGTATATCTTATGTTCAGCTAATTTTTTTTTAATATTTCTAATTTAATTAAGGAATAATGCTATATCTCAACTTTTATTGATATTTATTTCTTCATACAATGGGTTTTCTGACGAATTTTACATCATTAATAATTTTCAAGTTTTTAATTTTAAAATGCATTCTTAATTTTTTTTATAGAAATGAGCCTATTTTATCGAAATCTCAATTGAGTTTGTTAGTTTGAAAAACATGCGTTATAAAAGTCATAACTTAAGCCATTTGTAATTTCATAATTATCATTCATTATATATGTTCTGAAATTATATAATAAAAATAGTACTCGTTGATTAATTATATTGTCTATTTCGGGTCCTATTTTAAGTGAATCATAATTATAAGAAAAAATGTCTTTATGGTATTTGCGCCAAAGTGAACTTTCTTTTAATATTATTAGTTATCATTTTACTTGTTTATTAAAAACTGTAAAGTGCATGATTTTATTCGAAATAATTCGGATAAATGTTAGTACTGGAAACATGAAAAGTTTCACACTATAAGACAAACTCTATCCTTTTAACTATAAGTATTTAGTTTGAGGATGAGCACTAGATGGCAGCATCTTATGCAGAATCTTATGATATTTCTGTTGATTGGTCATTTGCTTCAGAATTAAAAAAAAATTACATTTGATATCCTTTTCATCCGTAATAATTTATCTTTTCTTCTTTAGTTCTTTTCTTCAGTGCCAAAGGATTTTAAGAAATATTAGACTTTTAAGAAATGTCTAATTCATTTTTTGATCTCTGATTGTTTATATATATATTTCAAAAAAATATTATTAATGAAGGACCTAGTTTTTCTAAAAGTATATATTTTAATTCTTCCTTTTAGAAAATTGTACTTTGTACTTACATATTTTACCAATTGTACTAAAAAAATCGATAGGAGGCCGAATATGAAAATTTTCATAAAATACGAAGCAAAAGGCTTAAGAAAGAAAAGAGCGAATAATACAATGTTTTTTTGAAAAGTTCAGTTTACTGCCTAAAATCAAATTGATCTCTAATCTTGAATTCAGTTTGAATTTTTACTGTAAAAAAGCATCGTAATTTTACCGTAAATAACTATTTTATAGCTTTCTGCACAGAATTTGCTTCAATATTGCTCTGTCAAACTTCTGTTTTTAGAAATATATAAGTTTATGTGCATTGATGTTTATAACTCGTATTTCCCTGCGTCAAACCTTACATATAGTGCATCACTTACAAGTATAGAGGGTTGACCAAGTTTGAATAATTCTGAAAAATATTTACTATATAAATAAAATAGGTGTTTTATAATTTAAGTAAAAATTAATATTGTTAACAGATTATAAATTTTAGGAGCTATCAAATAATTTCATATTCAAATTTTATAATGTTAACAAAATAAATAAATAAATAATTTTGCGAATCGAAGGGCAATGCTAGTTTTTCCTCCCTGCACTCGTATTCAGGGGTTCAAATATAACATCAGCATCCTTTATGGTGTCGATTTGAACCCTACTTTTCACACTTGTTTGCATGTTACTGCTTCAAATATGAATGCATTATACTGAACCAAAATAAAATTTAGTATGTTAAACCGAACAATGCTCAATGATCAGGTAACATTCTAAACTTAAATATTTATAGAATTCTCCAACCACATTAAATTACAATTATTAACGTATCAATTAAAGATTGATTAATTAAGGGAAAAATAAGCGCGTAGCATTTCTTATCACATACAAAACTCATTCTGAATCTTGTATTTTTAATACTTCTCTTTAAGGAATCTGCTTCTTCATATTAAATCAATGCATCTTCATATTAAAAACTTTAAGAGTCAGAAGATTGAAATTACGATTGTGGGTAGAAAAAGTACAGGGAGTACAATGAAATAAAATAATTTAATATTCAAAAATTAGCTCAAGAATTATAGGTTGTTACACTTTTAGTAAAATATACCATGCGGACCACTCTGTAGCCAGTTGAAATTGAACGTGCTGAAAGGGACATTTTCGTAAACGCGAGTTTTCTTTCAAAATTCCAATTTATTTGAAAGTTATAAAAGTTTCAAGTGCTATTTTACAGTTTTTTTCTCACTTTCTTTCCTTTAAATGATGATTATTTATTAATTGTTATAATTTTTTTTTTAATTTATCTCTCTTGAGATATTTATTCACATGCTCAAGTTTCATTTAATTTCGAAGAGATTGAGAGTAACTGAGCATTTTTATTGAGTTAAAGAGAGATAAAACCCATTTCCAATTTGAATTGATATACTAACATTAAGTTGTTATTATACGAGTATGTTATTAACAAGTAAAAATATTTTATTATATTTCATTATTATATTTTATTTTATTATATAAATATTTTATTGCTTCTTATTATGTTACACATCTTGCGTTCCAAAGTTAACCTTCTTTCTAAGTATAGTTGATTATTTCTCAAATTCAGGAAATTGTCCGTTACTTCACTATTATTAACAAAATGTTGCCACATGATATTAAAA